AGGGAGGCAGTGAAGGACCGGAAGGCCTGGCGCAATATGGTTCATGGGGTCACGAAGAGTCGGACACGACTTAACGACTAAACAACAACAAATAGGAGCTTCAGCATTGGTTCCACTCCGCTTTCTTTCTGGATTCATAATTCTTTTCCACTCCCCTCTCAGCCTTCCAATTGTTTTCCCAACTGATATGAAAGTTCAGTTTATTTTGCCTTCTTTGGACTTTTTTTTGGGGGGGTGTCCCTGTTGGTTGGTTCTTCAGTGAACCTCAAGGTTCTGATATGTTCTTTTGTTTCTAAGCAGACTCATTTCCCCTACAAAAATCACCCCCATCTGAGTTTAAAAATAATAACAACACTTTATTATTAAAGGAACTGATACTTTCTTATCAGAGTTAAATATTCTATATTGAGCATATGAAATGTCTACTGCAGTATTTGCTACAAAGTACTATTTAATCGATCAACACATGCGTGAAATATTTATAATAAATTATATATGGTGTTTTCAGATACTGCTGCAAATTTCTGATACTAAGTTACCAAAATTTTATTTTTGCTAGTTGGTGAAAAGGTGGGGAGGGGGTTTCAGGGAAATAAATATTTAAAAGAGAAACTCTTCAAAATAGTCTCAAAGAGGAGATTTTATTGTCTGGGTTCGGACAGATTTTGGATGAGGAAGCACATTTGAATGCCCATCCAAGAGTAGGCAATGCAACGCACAATTATGTCTTCTGCATTTGAAGGTGTGTTTGATTTAGGTCCGCAGCTCCTGATCCAGCAGGTGAGTTAGGCTGAGAGCAGCATTCTCCTTGGCCCACTTTTAAGTAGAATAGCATATTTCCGCCAATTCAGTATCCATGCATTAAATTAGAATCAGAATGGACGAAATGAATGGAGCTCTTCAGTTGCACAGTCTGTAGGATAAGTCACATCATTCAGTACAAGAGAAATCTTGTACTCCCTTTGCAATGAGTGGCCTTGCACACCGGTACATAAGTACGCTACAGACATTCTAAGAAAATGTTCGGATGAGAAAAATGCACGTTTAAGTGTGCAGACTTAGGCATACAGAGGCACATCCGTTTAACAAGGTGATGTAAATAATGCCGGCCTAAATTTGCTCTGTTTTCATAGCGGCTCTTGACATGGAGGCCAACTAGTGGTAGTATCTTAAAAGTTTCCTGCAGGGCAAGTTAGATGCAGCATTAGTGGATTTCTCTTCCAGCAGGAAAAATGTCCACCAGTTGTTCACCCTAACATAGGTGGGGCTGAGGAAGGAGGTGTGCAAAGGTGTCTGCTGGGTGTGGTAAAAAAGGTCAAGATGGCAGCTGCAACAATGTGGTCATCGCTCCATCTGTTTGTTCATGTGTGTCACACATGCAACGCGTATAAAAAAACAGATGGATTGTTGCAATTGCCATCTTGACTTTTTTGACAATATCCTGCACATACCCCTGGAGGTATGTTTTGACATATGGTTAGAGTGATGGGTTTAGCCATCCATCAGAAACTTATCTATGGAGTGGATGGGAGTTTTCCATTCCGGTTTTCTCAGGAAGCTCCTGCCCACACATGGGTCACCTGCAGCGTCTGATCCATGGTGCTGCACCCTGTTGAGCCACCTCTCTGGACTGGGCACTGGATAGGACTGTGGGAAAGCAGGAGAGGCTCTTCCTTCTTGCTTCCCTAGGAAACTCCTACCCTGCACTGAGGAGTACATTGGTGTCCCACCATGGGGGGATGTGAGAGGCAAGAACAACTTTCTTCCCAGATCCTCCGTGGGACCTGTCAAGACACAATACACATACCGAGAGGCATGTAAGCAGGTCATGCGGTGGACTTGAGACAAGGGGACAATGTTTAAAAATTATCTGTGTAAAAATTAAAACCAAAGTCTCTAAAAACCAACATCCCCAAAGCAAACCAACCACCATCTAGGACCGAAGTAGTTGTTACTCTACAAATGCCTGGGCCAACAGGCATATTTTCAATTGTTTTCTGAAAGAAGGAAGTGTGGCGTCCACACAAACATTTCTTGGGAAAAGCTCTACAACAGAGCTGTTATCATTCTGGCCATAGGAGTCTACAGGGTATGGTCAAAAAGTCAAGATGGTAGCTGTGGTGGTACATTTGAAACTCTGCCAAAAAGCAGGCAGAGCTTTGAATGCATCATTGTAACCACCATCATGACTTTTTTGACCATACCCTGCAGACACCCCTGAGCTCTGAGAAGGCCAGTTCTGGCTCTTGTACCATGAGTCAAATCCACTGGTGGGACCCAAGCTGATCTTAATGCATCCCTTGGATGGTATTGGAATAGATGAACTTTTAAATACCCAAGCGATTACGTTTTGGCAACCTGTGGAGATCATTCTCTGTGCACTCAAAATGAAAGGTTGGCAGCATACCACAGCTTGAAATCCTAAAGGATAAACAGACTGAGACAGAAGAACGTGAGACAATGAGAAAATGAGAAGCCAAAAGCACAGGCAGCAATAATCCCCAGAAAAGAAGATGGAGGAAGCCTTAACAGGCTTTAAGGTGAATAGTGAGCTTACTGACAGGCTGAACCGCAAGGAGGTGTGTAGAAAATGGAACCAAGAGCTCATAACTGAGGAGTTGCCCAAACTAGTAACTCAAGTCTGTAGAGATGGTGTCAGGGAAGCTCAAATTCAGAATGAGATGAAGCTAGCAAAGAACAGAAAATACCATAAGCACACTGGGGCTACATGCAAAGGAAGAGTAGAGAGCCTTGGTTTGTTGCATGGGGCAAGTGAGGAAATAAAAACATGGAACAGGAGATGGCATGCTGGCTGGGGAATTCTGGGAGTTGGTCCACACATCTTAAAGTTGCCAAGTTTGAAAAACACTGGCTTAACAGATCTCTCTTTGCTGCTGTCTTGTGTTAGAAGATACAGTGAGCCCTTCCTAATGCAACTGAGGATGTATTTTAGGACTGATAGGAGGTGCTCACTTTGCTATCATAAATGAAAATCACATCTCCAGGATCAGATGAAATATATTTTGGAGAGTTGAAAGAGCTGGTAGATGTGATCTCAGAACTGCTAACTGTAATGTTCTGGAGAACTGTGAGATGCCAGAAGGTTCTTTTGGAATGGGCAGTCATAATAAATGTAATGAAACAAATAAACTGCATTTCTCCTTGAAGTTGCCCACCATGCTTTTCTCCTTCAAGAAGCCCATCTTCTATTGACCATTTCTCCCTGACCTACATTTTTAAGTACAGAAAAGTCTTCTCAAAGGAAGGTTCAACTCCAAATCTATTTCATGTCAAGTTCCATGGAGGATAGTTGCATGTTCATACTATATTTTACTGGGCAAGAATAAACAACATTTTTCTCAGCTTGGTCTCTCTCCCCTCTCCAATAGTGAAACAAATTTTATTCCCCAAATTCCCCTTTTCTTATGGAAAGGAGCTAGCCAACCTAAAGATTCACCTTGCTGGAAAAGACATGAACCCAGCCATTTTGACTTAGCAAACCTTCACAGGTCTATGTACAAAACTGTTTATTTTACATATCATGAGGACAGTGGGAGATTAATAACTTAGCATGCATATGTGGAGGTATTTTTCATTTTATAAATACAGTATACAAAAATAAAGACAACAAAGTCCTCCTAAGATTCTGAGTGGTTCCATCATAGTGTAACATTCCCAGGTTGCTTGTTATAGAATAAGCACAAACATTCTCACTGCTGTTGAAGGAGGAGGATACAAAACCTTAAGAGGGAAATGGGTTTCAAGTGCCATCTTCTGACCTTGTGATTCAGTCTTTGGATGATGTTTTATGTCACCATTATTGATAGAACGGAAGTGGGAGACAGGAAACAGAAGCATCAGAACAGAGAGGAAGGGGCAGCACTGACTTTTGCAATGACCTGAACTTCCATTTTTTGTGACCATCAGCTGTGGCTGGCAAGCTGAAAAGCTACAGTGAGAAGTCCAAGGGCTACATTGGGATATACATAACAGAGCTGGTACCTTAATCTTCCCATCAGTCATTGAAAGATGATGTAGCTTGAGTGTCCACTGAAGGACACCAAAAGGATGCTGGAGGGCTAACCAAGATTTTTAGGTGGAGGAGGCCCAAAGCCACAAACTACAGTAGAGTCTCACTTATCCGACATAAACGGGCCGGCAGAATGTCAGATAAGCGAAAATGTCGGATAACATACAGTAACGATTGAGTGCAGTAAAAAAAACAAGAAAAAACGATCCGCTGCGCCTGTTGCAATCGATTTTTGCGTTGCAGCACCGCACCGTCAGGAGCAACAAGAAAGAGTACACTCACGCTTGCAAACAAGCGGCACACTTTTCTCGTTGCCGATTTATGCGTGTTGTTGTGGTTTTTTTAGGGGTGTCGGATAAGACGGAATGTCGGATAAGCGAAGGTCGGTGAAACGAGACTCTGCTGTAGTTGCATCAAAGGAGCCCTCTGCATCCACACTAAAACTTACCACCCCCATATTTTCTCTCTTTGATATGAGAGAAGTGAATTCTCACAGGACAGATTGTGGGCCAGAACCTTGGAAAAGTTAGGGCAAAGCTGCTTGGGAATCAGTGCAGCAAGTGAAGAACACTGGACTACTGATAGGTTTAGAGGTGCCCTCCCTGGGCTGGTGTTCTCCAAATGCACTGGACTACAAGCTCTCTCATCCCCAGGCAGCAGGGCTGGGAACTTGGGAAGCTGGAGTCCAAGGCACCTGGAGGGTCAGCACCTAAAAAGGCTGCTCTGGCAGCAAGAACCGAGAGTATCAGAGGGTCCGGTTCTCCCTGGAATCCAAGGCAGGAAGGGAACAGCCAGTGCTCCAAGCCCCCAATGTTCAAGGACTCGGAGCCGGGGCCAGCTGAGGGTGGGGGCCCCCATGCCTGCTCTGGGGCTGCCTCCCACCCTCATCCTTATCAGAGCAGTCAGGGGAGGTGTAGGGACAGCAGTGTCCAGAACGCTGTTGCTCTTCTTCTTCTTCTTCTTCCTCCTCCTCTTCTTCCTCCTCTTCCTCCTCCTCCGGCTCACTGTCTCTGAGTTCCCGCAAGCGGCGACCCACGTTGCTCTTTTCAGGCCCCCCTGGCAGCAGCTGCCCCTCCTCTCCCCCCTTGTCCTGCTCAGCATTTCCGCTCTTCTGCTTCTCAGCCTCCTGGGCTGCCTGTTCCTTGGCCTTCTTGCTCCGTTTCCACTTCATGCGCCGGTTCTGAAACCAAATCTTCACCTACAGAAAGGAGGGGAAACAGATTGGGCTCATAGAGCATCTAGGCCATGGTTTCTTCTCCCATGGTTGAGTGAGTAGACCATAATGGCTGGGTTCACATAACATAGTTTGGTTCGGGCTTGGCATCACACATGTCCACCAGGGGGCAGAATGACACTTGTCCAATGACATCATCATGCAAATGTCATGGCTTGGGCACAGCACCTGCAACCAAAGTTGGGACACAGGTACATCAGGGCAGCATTTACCTTATGACATCACCATGGATGTATCATCAGGTTGACCTCACTTTGGTTTGCTGCAGCTGTTTGGTGTGCTGGGTGAACCAGCTCTAGATTTGCAATCAGAATTTGACCGGGGAAAGCATTTTAAAAGGAAAACATCAAACCAAGGCTAACTGGATCCCAAGCTTTGGATGGGATTCTCTCTGCATTCATGCACTGCCCTAAACCATGGCTGTTTTCCCTTGGATTTCTAGAACAAGTCATCGTGACTTGATTTACTCATGACACCGTGGAGTTCTTGATGCTCTCTGAGCTTGTTGATTTTTTTAATTTATTTATGATTAAATTTATATACCGCCCATCTCCCCCAGAGGATGGTGATGTTACCTAGCTGGGTAATGAGACATCTGCAAGCAAACAACCAAACTCAGAGAGCACCAAGAATTCCACAATTCAGCCCTGAGCTACAGATATTCTCTTCTACTGGAACTAGCTAGGAAGTATAATTTAGAAAGCAAAGTGGCTCAGTTCACACACGTCCGGCTAGGTCATAAATAAAACCAGTTGCAGGATGGTTTACTGAAACATGCGAGCCCAGTTTTGCAAACGCTAAAACCACTGGATTTGTATCAGTTGCCCTCCCATAATTACTGACGAGTTGTGATGCTAGCTGTAGCTAATGGAGGCTGGTGGCCAGCGATATCCTGAGATACACAGTCACTGCTCTAGAGTTTGTAAATCAGATGACGGGGAAATCAGACCTCCCCTACAGGGCAGTTACGAAGTTCCCTTTGCAGATATATATCCATTCTCTGTCAGACTTGTTAAATTTAAGCAATTTATTCTCCAAAACTTTAAATCAAGACCTCCTTTGCCCTTCCTTCCTTCCATTTAGATTCTACTCCCCACCCCCAGTATGGAAAAGTAGCACCTGTGCTCCCTTTCCTTTTTTTTAGGCCCACAACAGTCCAGATGTGGGTTCTGCCTATTTTCCTTCCATTGCAGCTTTTGTTTTCCTTTAGTCATGTTTCGTTTGCTTACTTTTGTTTAGATTGGATTTTATGGTGGGAGCCAGTAAGTGGAAAACCGGGTGTGAACATTTAAAGAAATCAGTTAGGGAAAGACTTCCCAGCAAGAAGGGTAAATTCAGGCACATTTCATTAATCAGAGATTAACAGTAATATTTACACACCATCTGATCATCCCAGAACCAGAAATGAGGTTTCAGCCTGTGGAAAGTTTGCAAAGGAGAAGGAAACAATGGAACTGGGCGAGTGAAACTTTTCCTGGGTTGGGCTCTTATGTTCTTTAAGAAAAAAAATGCCAAAGCAGAGCAGCGAGCAAAGCTTAAGCTGTGGTGTGGAGTGGATTGTCCTGATGAACTTGGAAGGAAAAGGTCTGAGTTCAGGTCCTTGGCTCCTTCCATGATGTCCATGATGCCCTTCTCACAAACACACCACCTCATGGGATTGTTGTGCTGTAACCCTGTATCTACTTACGTTGAGTAGCAGAAGAGCTGTTCCTTAGACCTGCGTCCCCCTCTGATACCCTCTAGTTTAAGCTAGACATCAAAACTCTCAGGATTTTGCAAGCTGCCTTGAACTTTGGTAAGGCAGACTGATGGATGTTTTCAGTTAATTAATTGGATGACACTCTTCTGATTCTTCCTTCGTTCTTTTTGCCAGACACGCGAGACTTATGTAAAAGCAGAAGCCTCTGTGATCTCAGGCCTTTGTGTCCATTTAAGCCCCCTTCTCACAGCTCTACCCTTTTTTCTCACCCAATTTCTATATTCATATAATGGCTTTCTCCACCTTCTTTTGACCACTGAACCAGGAGTCTCTGCAGGAACCCCAATACCTTTTACAGTTTTATTTTAATGAAATTGTTTGATCGCTATGGATGAGAAGCACGGGGCTCCCTTCTCATTTCAAATGCTGAACCAGGTTGGGGGGTACCCATGCAGACCCACCGCCCAACACAAAGCCCTGAGCAGTGTTTCTCAACCTCAGCAAATTGACCATGTGTGGATTTCAACTCCCAGAATTCCCCAGCCAGCCATGCTGGCTGGGGAATTCTGGGAGTTGAAGTCCACACATGGTCAACTTGCTGTGGTTGAGAAACACTGCCCCTGCAGGTGGATTCAGACTAACTCCAAAACCTGCGAGCTGGGGAGGAGCGCTCCCACCCCGGCGAAGGGTGCTGAACTCTCCGAGAGGTGGCGCCACTTCCCCCGCCCCGTCCCGTCCCGTCCCGCCCCGCGCCACCCCACCCCACCCCACCGCACCCACCTGCGTCTCGGTGAGCATGAGCGACGTGGCCACCTCGAAGCGCTTTGGCCGGGACAGGTACTTGTTCAGCTTGAACTGATGCTCCAACTCCAGCAGCTGCTGGCTGGTGAACGCGGTTCGGGGCCGCCGGCACTTGCCCAGCAGATTGGACTGCGCTTGGGCTGCGGAAGAAGGCCAGAAACGAAAGGGGGCGTGAGCCACGGCGGTGGGGGGCCGCGCAGCGCTGCCCCCGGAGCCGCGCTCGCCGCTGCCGCTAGGGGGCGCTGCGTCCCCGCCTTGGCCCATGGAGCGACGGCGGCAGCGAAGCAGGCGAGAAGCGGGGCGGGGGGCTGGCAAAAAGCAGCTGGGGGGGGGAACCGATGCTGGGCGACAGGGAACGCGGGGTCGTCCTAGGTTGCCCTAACCTTAAAGAAACGTAAGAGGAAATATTTTCCCCGCCCCTTCCCTCCCTCCTTCCCTCCGTCGCATTCCGATTGTAACGTCCTCGGGGCAGCTCTGGGCACGGAAGGCGCCGTTCTTAAACGCAAGGCAAGGCGAGCGGACTCACGGCCTCCCTCGCCTGCCGACTGCCTATCCCGATTACGCGCATCATTAACGGCTGCCTCATCTCCCTATCCCGGCTCATATTAGTTCTGCCATCCAGCCACTGGCATCAAATTCGTGTCCTGTTTTAAAAAGGAGATCTAAGGGGGAAGGAGGCTCACGTAATCCGGTAGGGGTTTTTTTTCGTAGTTGGAGAAGGACACCCACCCACCCACCCACCCAAATCGAGATCTTCGTTTCCTCCGAGTCGGCAAAGGAGCGCCGGGGCTGTGACCGTCCAGCCCCACCAGCAGAGCCTCGGCCCCACACGCTCCCCGAGAAACGGCCTGCCCGGCCCTCCAGCCGAGAGAGGCAAAGCCGGGCTGAGCTGGAAGGGGAATCGGCGAAAATTTGGATCGCCACTAGATGGAAGGAAAGGCGGAGGACTTTCCTCTCTCTTCGCTGCCATCTAGGGACTGTCCGGATCCCTGCAGCCCCGATCTAGTGGTCACCCAGGAGAGATGATTATTACAGATCTTCTGGATCCCTGATACGATTTAGGACGGAAATCTGCGCTCTTTCGGTGGATCAAGAATCCCAACGGTTTCCTGCTCGCCTAGATTCGAAGGAGGGAAATCGCACTTTTCATCCGAGTGGGGTTTCGGGGACGCCGATCCAAGTCGGGAACTTGTAGATGAGGAATCTCAAGCCCTGCGTTACCAGGGCGCCCAAAATTATAAATCGACCTGGTCGCCATGAATCATGATTTCATTCAAAAGCAGCTCCGAATTCCCCGCCAGCTCTCCGGCTCCCTCTGCTTCGGACCAAGAAAAAAAAAAAGGGGCATACCAAAAAAATTAATAAGTGTTGGTGATTAAATATATCAATCACCGAGGATGTCAAAGTTTTGCCAAATCACAACCGCCTGCCAAGCGAAGCCCGGAGGTGGCTTTACAGCAACAGCTCCCACTTGGCCTGCACAGGCCGATCAGGTTTTTTTAAACGCCCGCCCCCCCCCCCCCCCC